CCAGGGATGGGCACCCACAGCTCTGGGCTGCAGTGCCAGGACCTCATCACCCTTTAGGTAAAGAATTTCCTTTTCACATCTGACCTAAATCTCCCCTTTTTTAGTTTAAAACCATTCCCCCTTGTCCTGTTGCTCCCTGCCCTTGATGTGTGGATGTGGCACTGAGGGACGTGGTGCAGTGATGGCACTCAGCAGATCAGGTTGGTGGCTGGGCTTGATGAGTCAAACAGCTCTGGACACCAAGCAAGAGAGAATAAATGGATTGGGAAATAGTCTGGGCAAATACAGACATGAAAAACTGCACTTGCAATGAGCAAGAATAAAGGCAAAGAGAGGGATGATGGCATAGTTAAAGTGGTGGACTGGGAATATTATTGTTTTATCAGCTCTCCAGATGAATGGGGGAGATTTTGTCAAGGTCAGGGATAGCACGGAACTCTTTCAGTGAAGAAGCTGGGCTGACCCAGATCAGCCTGTTACCTGTCAGCATGGCCAGCAGAGGGACTGAAAAAGAAAGCTGCAAAGGAGCATGTGGTCTGCAAAATGAAGGTCTCTTTCATCAGCCACAGTGGAACAAAGCACAGTGAGTGGTGGAATGGCTGAAATCCCAATTGGGATAGATAGATAGATGGGGGAGACTGGGAGGAGACACGTCTGGGTCATCAGGGCAAGGATGGACCAGAATTTGTACCTGCAAATAAGGTTTCCCAGAGGCAGACGGGTGGTGATGGTGAAGAGGGGAATGAAGGACTGAGCTGAGCTGAGCTTTCATAGAAAGCTGGGAAGGGGAAGATGCTGGATACATCCCCACAGCAGAGATCAGAACTGCTCAGTTTGGGAAAGCCAAAGGAAAACAAGATGTTAGAAGAAGAGTGTGGCTGATATACCTAGGAAAACCAGTGTGCGAGAGCACTTGAGACTGGCTGGACAGAACTTGCTACAGCTTTGGAAGAACCAGATTAGGGTGATGTGAAGGGCAGGAGCTGTAGGACACTAGACAGGACAGTTGGACACTAGGACAGACAGGAGTCTGCCAGCACCAAAGGAAAGAAAGGGAACACGGCATGGGGGATGAAGACACCAGACAGGACACAGTTACTGAAACGTCTCCATCTATTACATGAAAGGAGAGAATGATAAGCATGGGAAAGGGGGGATCTGTTTTACCTGGGGCGTAGCCGGGGCTGCTGGTTGGATACATGTTTGGGTTGTAGGCTGGGGCAGCGGTGGGATATCCTGCTGGGTAACCTGCAATGAGAAAAAAGGAGAAATGAGGTTTCCAAGTGCAGGGAGAGAAGAAAGGACAGCATCCACGGAAAGGAAGAAACCATCCTTGTGAGCCAAGAGGTCATCAGCATAGGTGGAAGGTGAATGTTCTCAGTTGGCCAGGGCAAAGGAAGGATGATGAATGTGCTCTGCAGATTTACATCATCAATATTTAACCTTTATTCCCCCTGAAAATGAGGACAATGATCAGAATGCAGGATATGGGCACATTCAGTGTGCTCTGAAGAAAGCTACCAAGAAATTACATGCACTGAATACAGCATTCAGCTGGGAGAAACCAGCTTTATTCTAAAGGTTTTCCTTGGCTGCAATAGCTTGATGTGTCACTTACCAAACACATGCCACAAACCTAAGTTAGGTACTGCAGCTAGCTAACCCTGAAGGGCATTAAGTGAATAATTCCCAATGCTTCCACTCAGTGCTTCCATCAACCACAGCTTCTTGCTAAAGGACAGAAACATGCCAGCCCTTGTATTCACCCATCACTGCACAGCTGCCATCCCAAGGAGGGACCCCATTACTTGCCAAGCCACCTGGAAGGAGCACGCAAGGCAGCTCAGACCATTTGAAGACACCACGTAACACCATGTAAGGTTTTAATGGGCACTTTAGAGAAGGTTACAGAGCACCTTCAATTTCCATTATCTTCAGTCGGATCGGTCAGAGGGAGTTCAGGGGAAATCAACTAGGCTTGGTGAGCTGGAATCACTGGCACCTGAAGAGCAAACCAGCACACAATGGGGACATGCCTCCCCGGGGGCAGAAGGCAGAACCAGCCAAACTGGAAGAGCCAAGGGGAAATAAGACTTTATGGAGAAGACTGCACTCACTGATGCCAAAGACAACTGGCATACCAAGGCCAAAACAGAACAGTCCCAACATGCAGTCACACGTGGGTCAGGAATCATCCGTCCATCCTCTACTTTATTAGAAGTTCTTGATTTCCATGAAAACCGCGGATGACACACTATATACCTCAGTCTGCTTGACTTTGCTCTGGCCTATTGCACTACTTCCCTTTGCTGGAAGTTTTACAAATCACAAATGGTGACACTCAAAACAGCTCTGTCCCTTTTTACATGCTTCTGCATAAACCCCTCAAACAGACTGAATGGGACACATCCATCTCCACTCCCTCCTAGCTTGGCTTTCCATTCCACTCCACTCACTCCACTCCATTCCATTCCATTCCACTCCATTCCATTCCATTCCATTCCATTCCATTCCATTCCATTCCATCCCATTCCATTCCATTCCATTCCACACCACTCCACTCCACTCCACTGCATTCCAATCCATTCTGCCCCAATCCATTTTACTCTACTCAATTCCTGCCATTACTCTCCACTCTTCTCTACTCTACTTTCCTCTTTATTCCACTCCATTCCACTCCATTCTACTCTACTCTATTCTACTCTACTCTACTATACTCAAATCTATTCTACCTTACTCCACTCTTCTCTACTCTATTCCTCCCCACTCCACTCTTCTCCACTCCATTCTACTCTAGTCTACTCTACTCAAATCTTCTCCATTCTACTCTGCTCTTCTCTACTGTACACCACTGCACTCCATTCTGCTCTACACAGATTTACTCCATTCTACTCTACTCTGCTCTACTTTACTCTCTACTCTTTTCTACTCTTCCCTTCTCCACTCTTTTCTCCCTCCTATTTTATTGTACTCTTTTTGTTGTGCCTCCCAGCACCACCACTGCCCCTGATCATCTCTGCTGTTTCCTGGCCTTCACCCCCCAGCAGCACTGGTCTATGGGCAGACAAAAAGAACCTCCAGCATCCTTCCTCGCCAAGCTCAGCTGCTGCTGTCTGCTGGTGACCAGCAAAGACGGAAAAAAAAAAGGGAACGAGCAATCAGTTCACACCCCATCTCTTTCACTTTATTAAATAAGAGCCAGAACGGGTCTTTCCCCCCTTCTTCTGAGCAGCAGGACGAACACAAAGCAGCCTCTCCCCCCGCCTGCCCCTGGCACACAGCTGACTGCTGCAGCACCACACTGAAGATCACATGAATAAATTCTAATTCAACAATTGTGACCACCGTACTGGAATAAATGATGGCACGTTCTACCCTCTCATTTTCATCAGTGATATATTTGGCTTCTAAATCAGGTTAATTAGAAATTGCTGTAGTTAATGCTGGATAAGCAGCGGTGTAACATTTCTTTTTCTGAGGCTACATAAAGCTATGCTGTCGACAGATTTGGGAATATATTGTCCTTCTGCAATCAAGAAGCTCCTTGGAAAGTTATTTGCAGATCCAGTGATTGCAAGCAGAGCGTTAATGACAAAGAACTTACATCAGCATCAGCACCATGAGTGTTGAGAAACGTGCTGGATGGTACCTGGATGATGGACAACAGCCTCTTGGGACACCAACTCTCTACTCCCTATCACTGGTTAAACCACCAAACAGGTCCTGAAACCCAACAGAGGAACCCACGAACCCAAGCTTTCGACAGGAGGTTTATATGTGAAAACCAAGTCTGAAATAAATCAGACCACCTTCCTTTAGGGCCCTGCGCAGGAAAGATGTGGTGTTGGGTCATCTTTTCCATACCTTCAACTACCCAAAGCCTGTGTGGTTATTTCAGGTAGATGCAGACACCGTGTGTTCACTCGTCTTCCTTCTGTCTTCTGGGTTTTGCTTTTGCTCAGTAGGCCCATGCCTCACCTCCTGGGTTATCTTCTATTATTTTGAAAGAAAGCTATAGGCATTTTCAGATAAATGTCATTCCAGCAGGTGAAATTCTATGGTATCAGATATCAAGAGACTCAGCCAGCTCCACTCTACCTCCCACAACCTCTGCTAAGTGCTGACTTCCAGCAAGAACACCTCTTCTCCCTCTTCCAAAGGGATGGGAGAGGGGCAGGGAAATAAGTGAGAAGTGCTGCTCTTTCTGGATGCACTCAGAGATAAGAAAGCATCACGACTGCAGCTTGTTGGGTGAGGGGAAGTATGCTTGGCTCACAAACTGCTTGGTCTAAAAACACACGAGCTGTAAACGACTAACGTTTGTTGGCTCCTCTCCACCCTCCCTTCCCCAGATGACCACAAACCGACCTCCTCAGAAAGCCAAAGCTGCAGCTGCTCCATCTGCCCCACGGCCAACCCGTGTCCCTGTCCCCTGCTGCCCATGTCTCTTCACCTTCAATCTGCAAAAACAACGGCCAGTGGGAAAAATCTCATCCTTTGTGTTGAGTTCTGACCGTCTCCACAGGGCGGTGAGGCTGGAGATAGGAAATTGTCAAGGATGGAAAATGTCCTTTGCTTTCTATCTGCTGATGGGACCTCGGCTCGGCTGGAGCTCAGGGCCTTGCTACAATAACGGTGCAGAGGCAAAGAAAATTAGATGAGGACATATTGAAAGACATTTATTAGATCCCTCGAAGAAGAACTCGGGAGTTATCTTCTTGTTTTATTTTAATTTAATATCATCTCCACAATCAATAGCAGTCAGAAACCCAGCGCTCATTCAGCTCTCCCCGAGGAGGATACAGCTCTGCAGATCTGAGCAGCACTAACTGAACTGGTTGGAAAATTAAGATGCAATAACCAGAGCACAGGGCTGCATCAAACATGTATTTTAAAGCAGTCTTTAATTTTTCATGCACTTCTGAATGTTTCTCAAGGATTACTTCCAGCTCTGCTCTGTCCTCTTTGGGCCAATGATGTTTCTGATTCATGGCTTTTAGGCTGCAAGTCCCAGCTACCCAATTTTTAATGTGCACACCTTTAGGAGATGCACTCAGAAATGAGTTCAGAAGATAAATTTTAAAAATTGTGGCCCACAGAGCCTTGAAATGTTCATAAGCAACAGCTTTGTTTGGCCCAGGATCCTCCGTGGCTGCACTCAGAGCACTCATAGCAAAGCAGTCAGCTTATATTTTCAGCTAAATATTTTACTGCCTACGTGCAGTTGGGTTGTGTTCCCAGCATGGGCCACATCAGCATGGTGTGTAAGAAATGTAAGATGGGGTTTCCATCGAATCATTGAGGTTGGAAAGGCCAATGAGATCATCCAGCCCAACCATCACCCCATGGCTGTGACCTCTCCAGACCATGTCACTCAGTGTGACACAGCCAACACCTCCTGGGATGGTGACTCCACTGCCTCCCACCACCCTTCGAGACAAACCTTTCCCTCCTGACTGCTTTTTGGATGGTTTATCCTTGAAATCACACTACAGACCTTTACATCACAGAATGGTTGAGGCTGGAAGGGACCTCTGGGTCCCTCTGGTCCAACCCCTGGTGGCTCCATCTATCCACGACAAGGCCACACAGGTTACAGGATGAAAATCAAGAAGCTCACTCAAAATACCAAAAGAGCATCAAAACAACCAAAAGCACCGAAAACTGGAAAAGACAAAGCTCTGAGAATACTTAAGAAATGATGTAACCATGTGATGCTGGATTGGCCTGGCTGTCTCATACCAAAATCCTTCTGAAATGGATCTGGCTGGTTTTGAGCAGCAGCCCATCCACCACAGCATCACGCAGCTTCACAGCTCTGTATGCAGCTTCAGATCAAAAGCAGAGCTGTCAGGAGCATCTGAGTAACAGAGCAGCCAGTGCAGCACTAAACCCCACTCGTGCCAGGTCTCAGCAGGTCTTACATCTGCCTGAATATCTTGGAAAAAAAAAAAAAGGATGGAAATGCAGTTTGCTTCTCTTCAGCTTGGGAGCGCAGACAGCCAGGTCCTTGTTGCAGCCTTCCACTGATGACCAGCTGAATTAATTGTCGCTCAGAATGCTGATTTCCAAAATGTGCTGTTTTATTTCCCAAGAATGGATTCCGTTGGCTGTTATCTGATTATGGCTTCAATTGCTACAAGGCAGCCCAAATTCATTTACGAGACAAAATATTCCACTCGGCTTTTTTCTCCCAGCAGTGATACACGGCTCATGGCACTGCACTGCTGGGAAGCTGTGGATGCCCC